ATAATAATAATAATAATAATTGCTTGCACTTATACATCAATTTAATCAATTTCCCTTTGGGATCAATTAAGTCTTATCTATCCACATGAGGGGGCGGGGCAGAGGCACTGTGGTTAAGGCTCTGCACCTGTGGCTGGAAGGTTCCCGGTTCGTATCCTGTGGCTGGCAGAGGAGTCCTACTCCGTTGGGCCCCTGAGCAAAGCCCTTAACCCCACCTGCTCTAGGGGCGCTGAACAATGGCTGACCCTGTGCTCTGACCCCCAGCTTCTCTCCCTGCCTGTGTGTCTCATGGAGAGCAGGCTGGGGTCTGCGAAAAGACAAATTCCTAATGCAAGAAATTGTATCTGGCCAATAAAGTTTTCTTATCACATATAGTCCTTTTTCTGGACACTCCACTCAAAGCGCTTTACAGGTAATGGGGATCCCCTCCACACCCACTAGTGTGCAGTCCCACCTCGATGATGCAACTGTAGCCATAGTGCACCAGAACACTCCCCACACACCAGCTACCAGTGGGGTGGAGAAAAGAGAGATGAAGCCAGTTCATAGATGGGGATTATTAGGAGGCCATGATTGGTAAAGGCCAGGGGGAAATTTGACCAGGACACCAGGGTAACACCCCTATTCTTTTTGAGAAATGCCCTGGAATTTTTAATTACCAGAGGGAGTCAGGACCACGGTTTTACATCTCATTCCAAAGGATGGCGCCTTTTTTTAGAGATTGAAGATTGAATCTTCTTCTGATACAAGATTGAAGAATTCCATCATCTTATTCTGCACTGCTCTTTGGAACAGAAGCTTTGTCTTGCAGAATTGTTTACACTGGTGCAATACACTGGCTTGGGGTTATACTACAGCCTGTTGAAATAAGAAATGACGCAAAATACTCTGTACGGGGCACAGAGTGTAGCCAATATTACTGAGGAGATTCAATTACATTGTCCTGGAGAGAGGGACAATGAAAATTATTAAAGCCGCAAAAGAACAAATAAACATGTTCTTGATAAAAACGTTCATTTTAACCTAAAGTTCCCTCTTAATTCAATTGCCGAAGCAGATTTTCAGCACGCCCTAGCCGATCTGCTGCGCAGTTGGGCTGCAGGTGCAGACTGCTGCGAGTTACGTCAGAGCTCTGCGCCGCTCTGGGATGACGAGCGCTGCAGGAATATAAACTTTCCAGCAGAGGGCAGTCTAACCCCGAATTGGGAAGACGCTGAACTATTCTCCCTTTCCTTCTCATACCTTGTGTATCTCAAAATGTGTTTTGTCCAGAATATACAGGTACATCATTAAGAGCTGATTAAATTTAAAACTGAGGGTGACATATACGCACACAAAATTAAACTTCTCCGCGGGCAAATTGTTAAACAGTGAATTTGGGCCGTTGATTCTAGCGAGGGTGCAGGACAATGTGTGCGTGAGGGAGTATATCAGCTACTTCAGTTTCGGGAACCACGACGAAAGCTTTCCAGCACATTGGAGGTGTCTTAGTAATACATTAACACTTGGAACCTCTCTATAGAAATTTCCAGAGTCTCTTTCGAAAATCCACAGGGCATGTCTGTAGAAACCGTCAAGTTATTTTTGTAAGGATAAAGTAATCTGTCTGTACTTGAGAGGTGTCCAGGGAGAACTTACTACGGCTTTCACTAGTTGCCCAGATATTAACCTCATAGGTTGCAAGTTGCAGAGATTTCTACTTTAGCTGAAGCACAAGAACAGTTGCAACCAAGAGGCCATTCAGCCCATCCAGACTGATTGGTAGTTTGTAGCTAATTGATCCAAGGATCTCCTCCAGTCATTGTGTGATGGAAACAAGGGTCAACGTGACTGGGTAGCTTGTTCCCAGCTCCCACAACCCTGTGCGTAAAGCAGTGCGCCCTGTCCTTAGTTTTAAATTAAACTTCCATGTCCTTTACACTTGTGCCTGCGGGGTCATTTGTCACAGTGAATTCCGAAGAAGTCTGGTGGGTTGATTTTGTTTTTCAATGCCTTTGGAGGATTTCAAATCTGTTTCAGGTCCCCCTGCAGTCTCCCCTGTTCAAGACTAAAAGGATTCAGTTCCCTCACATCAGTGTAGCGCAATGTAGTTCAAGACATCGCAGAGCAGCCATTACTTAAATCAGTCCTGTCACTGAAATAATTTCTGTGGTGCCCAGGCGATCGGTACAGGGTTCAATTCTAGCCAGGAGTGTGTTCTAAGTGGAGTTTGTTCTCTTGGTTTCATCGCATGGTCCAAAAGAAAGCCTGGATAGGCTGATTGGTGTCTCTTTATTTTGTCCTTTGTGTCTATGTGTGGGCCTTACAATACATTGTTATGCTGAAATGCTTTATACCAGTAGTCCTGCATAATGAGTTCTGTGGAACGTCTGAGGGTGTCATTCCAACAGAAACTCTCTTAGCTTCACCTTAGGATTTGTGAGAGAT